TATCAAAGACAGCAGTATCCCTTTTCTTCTTTTTTGTCACACTCTTCACAGAGGAGACAATATTATCCTCAATACCCATTCCAACATTTGTCTCAACATTGTAGAGGAAATTTTAAGCCTAAATCAAGAGGGAAACCACCTTCTTTTCATGACTAGGTTCTAAATGTAAAATTTGACAATTTGCTATGCAGCTGCAGTCTGACAGCTCAACAAAAGTGAAATCAATTGTTTGAAAACCAGCTGTGCAGTTTTTCCTGCCATTGGGATTTGATAACTATGGACACGTGGATATTGGAAATGTTTCATAGCAGGTATGCCATATAGTTTGAGACTCTACTTTCCCCCACTCATGCCTAGTCAGGGACCCCTCCCATGCAAGTCTTCTAAGATCAGAAGTTCAAACTCTCAGAGATGAGAGCAGTAGACGAAGTCCCAAAGATCTTCAGGAAGAAGGGTTTTTACTCACAATATTTCGTGACTGTCAAGAAAAATGGTGGTTTATGTCCTATATCAGGATTCTAAATACCTTCATCAGGAAGTTCTGGTTTCACATGTTAACCTTGGCCTCCATTCTACCTTCCATTTAGTTGATTGATTGGTTTGTAGTTCTTGATCTAAAAGATGCTTACTTCCACATAGATACTTTCTCAAAAAACCTTTGTAATAAGAAGTGACTATTATCAGTAAATGGTCCTTCATTTTGACCCCTAGCTACCACTCCCAAAGTTTTCACAAAGTACTTATCACTGGTGGCAGCTCTCTTGAGAAAGAAAGGGATACGTGTGTATCCATATTTAGACTATTCGTTACTAAGGCACAGTTGCAAGATCTTCTTTGTGAAGCTGTTATCTACACATGTACTCTTTTCGGGAGTTTGGGATTCCTCATAAATCAAAAGGCCCATTTGGAACCCACCAACACCATATCCTTCATAGGAGCTCTATTGGACTCCAGTCTGGGACAAGCTATGCTTCCGTGGGATAGGTTTCTGAATATCAAGAAGACCACAGAGACTAAAAAGTCATCAGTCTCATTAAAAAAATTTATTCTACCTCAGGTTGATGAGTCTCCTAGTGTCTATGGCCTATGTAACTGCACACCTGTCTAAAAATGAGAACCCTCCTCCAGCCCTGTTGTCAACCAACTACAAACAGGGAAAACACGCCATGTATCAAAATCTGTTGAAGGTTCTGTCAGATTTACTCTTCTGGACTCAGCCACAGAATATTCTGATGGGAGTATCATTCAGAGATCCAGTTCCACCAGTGGTGTTCGCAGCAGACACATGCAATACTGGATAGGGAGCTCACTCTCTTACACTCACAGCATAAGGTCTCTGGTCACAGAAAAAGACAAGATTTCATATAAATCTTCTAGAGCTCAGGGCAATTCAATGGGCCTGAAAAGATTTTCTCAAGCAGTTACAGCACAAGGTGGTTCAAACAGTATTAGGTAATACCAGAGCAGATTATTTTATAAACAAACAGGGAGGAGCTCATTCTTACCAGCTGTGCAAGGAAGCAACTATATTACAGGAATGGTGTATAGCACACAACATAACCCCAATTGCAATTAGCAGAAAAGGACAATCTCTTAGTGGATCATCGAAGCAGGATTAATATAGACTCACATGAATGGTCCCCAAAATGTCAGTAGCGTGAGATATTTTTCTTCAACGGGGTCACCTGCACATATATTTATTTGCCACCAGGAAAAACACAAAATGCCAAAGGTAATGGTTAAGAGCAGGAAAGGATTGTTTCTTAATTTCAGATGTATTCTTGATACTGTGGACTCAAGGGCTACTGTAAAAATTTCCTTCTTTTCCACTTGTAGAGAAAATGGTATCTAGATAAAGCAGAACAAGGCAAGGATTATTCTGGTCACGCTGGTATGGCTCCAGCAACAGTGGTTCCCAATTATGCTCCGCTTCCCAGCAGGGAATTTCAAGACCCTTCCTGTCTCTCTAGAGTCGTTCACCCAGCAGAATGGTTGGATTTACCACACAGACCCAAGCTTCGTTCATCTAACAGCATGGACGATAGATTTTTAAGTGACTTGGAATTGTCTCTCTTGCCGAATGTGCACCCTGTTTTAACAAACTCTAGAAAAGAAGTCAACTAGTAAATGCTGTCTATAGGCTTGCAACCCAACAGGACCCAACTACAGGGGTTGAGTTTAGGTCAAATCAGAAAACAATCCAGTCCTCTAGGACTCAGGTCAGGTAAGCTCTTATCATCTCTGCCTGCCTGTGATATCAGCACAGTGGTGGCTGCATGCTCCACTCCTGCCAGCCGCCACCACCCCGCTGTGCTCAGTGTGAGGTGGAGTGAGTATGCCGACAAATCGCAGCACACACAGCACAGTGAGGCTGCAGTGGCCAGTAGGAGTGAGGCATGCCGCCTCTGCTGCCCCAACCCCAAAAGCAGGAGGAGGCTGGAGACTGATCACGGGCACGGGGTGCAGGGAGCACCACGAGACTGAGACCCAAGGATGAGGCAGTGGCACTAACACAGGTTCGGGGATGAGTATCGGGTGCAGGTTAGGTCTGAAAACAAGTTGATGCTTTCAGGTTGCGTTCAGGTTGGCTGTGCCGGGGTCAGATTCAGGTCTGGGTTTGGCTTTAAAATTAGGCCCAGGCAGACTTCTAATACTGTTAAATTGAAAAAGGTTTTCTTTATAGGTGGCTAAAAGGGGTGTTCGCTCTTCCTTAGCCTCATACATAGTATTCTGGAGTATTTACTTTATCGTAAAATGTCAGGATTATCATTGTCCTCAGTTAGAGTGCATTTATCTGCCATAGCTACCTTCCACTCTAATAGTTTGGTGCTTATAGATGACTTATTTAACAAATTTATGAAGGGTCTAAATAATATGTACCCTCCTATAACTGGGTACTTATGCAATTAATGCAACAACCTTTTGAGCCAGTGGGGGAAATGTTCTTTATTTCTCCTTTCACTTACAACATTTCTAGTAGCAATTACTTCAGCGAGAAGAGTTAATGAATTACAAGCTCTTATGGTAGATCTGCCATATACAATTTTCCAAAAGACAAGGTAGTGCTAGTCTTCACTCCTGTTTTTTACCCAAAGTTGTTACAGATTTCTACATCAATCAATCAATAAATTTGCCATGCTCCCTGCCCCAAAGTTCACCCCCATAGGGCTAAGGCAAGACTTCATACACATGAAGTTAAAAGAGCATTGGCATTCTGTACAGATGGACAAGAAGCATCAGACATTCTCCGAGTCTATTTCTATTATATGCTGATGACAAAAAGGGTCAGTCTACATCTTCACAGACATTATCTAGATGGAATAAACTCTATATTCAGGAAACACATTCTTTACCTTTGGTTCCATTCCTTCAAAGGATTATAGCCAATTCCACTAGAATCAAGAAGGCTACATTATTACCTTGCTTCAATGTTCCAATTGCAAAAATCTGTATGGTGGTCACATGGAGTTCTATCCTTCCATACCCATTATGCTCTCGACTTGGCTTCTAGATCCTTCAATCTCTTTTTAATTAAGTGTTCCTTGCCCACCTTCCTAGAATGGGTACTGCTAATCAGTTTATCCCATTAGTGGGAATTTGCAGAAGCCACTCAAAGGAGAAATGAAGGTTACTTAATTGTAACTGAGATTCTTGAAAATGAACTCAGCATACTCATATTCCCCATCTGCCTTCCCCTCTTGCTTGGAGTCATAATCCATACATGGTGTTGAGCAAGCAGTGGAAAGACCTGAAGTGATGGATCCCCAGGCCGCCTTTTATAGCCTCACCCCTAAAATGTTCAGGAACAGTGAAGGAAGGGGAAAGTAAGAGCACCTGAGTGCTCCAATGGGCACTGCCTATTAGGATCCCTCTTCAGAGCTTCTAGGCCATCACATCCCATGAATGTGAGGGAAAAAATTGATTACAAGTAATTAACCTTCATTTTCAGAACATCAGTTGGAAGAAGTCAGGGAGACAAAATAACGGTTAAAGAAAACTAGCTGGAAGACTACATACAAAGACTACAGTAGAACCTCAGAGTTATGAACACCAGAGTTACAAATTCACCAGTCAACCACACACCTCATTTGGAACCGGAAGTACACAATCAGGCAGTAGTAGAGACAACAACAAAAAAGCAAATACAGTATTGTGTTAAATGTAAACTACTAAAAAAAATAAAGGGAAAGCAACATTTTTCTGCTTCATGGTAAAGTTTCAAAGCTGTATTAAGACAATGTTCAGTTGTAAACTTTTGAAAGAATAACCATAACATTTTGTTCAGAGTTATGAACATTTCAGAGTTATGAACAACTTCCATTTTCAAGGTGTTCGTAACTGAGATTCTACTGTACAGGCAAAATCCATCCTTGGTACAACTCCATTAACTTCAATGAAATTACATCAAAGATTAATTTTGCATTCCAAATCCAAGTTTTGAATATGCATGGGACAGTGCAATCAATTATTAGTTCCTAATGCTCATCTTAATGAGAAGTTGGGATGCTTCATAGGATTTCTATTTAACAACAATACAGTAGGTTACCATGCTGAAAAAAAAAGTTTGTTAGATTGGTTTATACTTTAGTTCCGTCTCTCTGTCAGGGCAGTCAGAAAGAAGTGGCTGGCAGTTGGGGTTGCCCCACCCTCTGTTTTAGCGAGGGGGAACATAAGAGCATACAGGGTGCCTCTGCAACCCTTTGCTGGACATTGCTAGAGAAAAGCTTTCCAAACTCCTGTGCAGAGGTCGCAAATGCACCATATGTGGGATCCACATGGCCAGGAGCTCAAAGAACTTTTAGCTATAATGAACTTCAGAAGGCCTTAGAGTTTCTCAAATGCTTGAAATTATACTATTTTCTGTGGTGCATACTTGGAAAGCATTTTGTTTGAGTCTTAATATTTGTAATAAGGTACTTATGTCTAGTATTGTGGGATAGACTTGTGTCTCTGAATTTAAGATATTTCTAACTCTCTCATTTACAATAGAAGTACTTTACCTGGTATCATACGCAAGGCACGGTCAACTACTGAATAGGAGACTCTGCCCGTCTGTATATAGAGATTACAGACAAAGAAGTGGTAGTCTACAGAAGTGGCTCCATGGTAATAAACAATAAGCCCCGGTCCTTCTGGTATTTTTTCTATACCATGAACTTCATAACCTGTCAAGAATACAAAGTACAATAGTTTCAATATTAGCTTTTTATAAATCATGCTGTGATTTAACATAAAGCTACTCACTACAGGAAACTCCGTACTATATATGGGGAAGATGTTCTAGGAGTCAACTTTAGGACATCCAATGTTAGTCAAGAAGTGATTAGCATAACAATTAACTCTTGGCTCTGACAGTCAAACATTTCACTTCACAGTTAAAAATGCAGTGAGAAAATGGCAGCCATTTTTTTGGATCTCTGGCATCACTGCATCATATGTCAGCTCACAGAGCCTAAAGTACTGGTGCAGTTTTGAGTCAGTGTTATTATTTATTATTTTTGTAATTGTGGCCATGATTTAAAAGAAGTCAGGAATTGGAGGGGAAAGGGGGGAGGCTATCCTTGCCTGTAAATGCTATTTATCTAATGATCCAGGGCAGTCTCTAATTCGATGGGTTTTTTGTTAGTCACACTTGGGTAGTTAACAACCAATCAATCTACAGACGTTTGAGCACCAGGTCAGCGGAATCAGCCTTCTGTTAGTTTTCCAGGCTTTTATATGTTAAAAGTCCAAAAACTAAAAATACTTTCAAACTAGGGAATAGTAAGGGAGAGACAAATATATAGGGTATGTCTACACTGCACAGTTGTCACCAAAAAATTTGTCTTTCACGGGTACTTAAAAAAGCTCCCCCGCGAAAGACAAAAGTTTTGCCAACACAAGCGGCAGTGTGAACGTGACTTTGTCGGCAGGAATGCTCTCCTGCCGACAAAGCTTATGCCGCTTGCGGGGCTGGAAGTATTTTGTCGGCAAAAGTGCCAACAAAATACCGCAAAAAAGCGTTCACACACACTGACTTTTAGCGACAAGGCTGTGTCAACATAGCCTTGTCTCTAAAAGCTGCGTAATGTAGACAAGCCCATAGATGGGATTAAAAAAAATCTGAAGTGGGGAGGGGGGAAATTATCTAGAATTTGGAGGTGAAATCCGTGAGTGAAAGGAACCTCAAAACCCAGTATAAAACCATGAAGCCACTGCTCACTGAAGTGTATGTTAAAGACTGAAACAGTAATAAAACAATAGAAAAATCACCAAATAATTAGAATGATCTATAGGGTCAGAAATGCAAAGAAAGGCCTAGTTAATTGAAAAATATTTTTTTTTGTGAACTAACTTTAACAGTTTAACTTGACTTAACAATGCACTATCTTAAATATTGGCTTTGGAGATGCTGGGTTATTTCCTCCTGCCTCAGTCTGATAACTCAGAGGTCAGTGTGACAATCAGAGATATGTGAATCCAGACAGGCCTAGTGTAAGGAGCTACACTAAAGAAGGTCTGGTACAGCGTGGAGGAGCTCAGTATTTGTTAGTCTACTCACTGGAAGGCAGGGTGAGAATGCAGAGCTAAGAAGAGGCTTGAGATCATCTAGACTCAACTGGCTTTCAAAAATTCAGTAATCTCATTGGTCACGTCAAGTATGACCTAAACACAAAACCCATCAAGTTAGAGACTGCCCTTGTTCACTCAGAGACAGCGAGGATATAGGGAAGAATACTGTTGGTAAATCAGACTTTAAAATGATAAATTTCAGTGATTGAGTGAGACACAGTCGATAGCTCAGATGCTTAACCTGATCAGCACAATAAAAGTGAGCTGATGTGAAAACTGCTTATCAAATCTACCCCATCAGAAAGAATCTACAGTGTTGTTTTCTGTGATGGGTTCCCCCTCCGTTGGGGAGCCATCTGGAACTGGGGTACCACTGAGCCCTCCTGACCCACCAGCCTGGGCTCCCTCTCACACTGTGCTGCTGTGACAAGTTGCTAAGCTTTCCAAGCCTGCACTTTCAATCAGCATACACAGGTAGGGACACACCCAGCTGTAGTAACATGTAAAAAGGCTCTCTGACCAGCCCCTGCACAGAAAGGCTAAACAGTTAGTCCACATCCCAGTTCCTAAGGCAGCCACCCCCCTTTGGAGGGTAAACTCAAAATTATACCATCTTGTGCTGCACAGGGAACTGTACAGCATAAGCTCATGAAATCTCCCTCAATGTAGAGGAGTCTTAATAATTTTAATCTTTCATCATATGGAAGCTTTTCCATGGCTTTAGTCATCTGCAGTGTCCTTCTTTGGACCTATTCTATTTCTGCTTTATTATTTTTGAGAAGAAGCAGTGAATGGAATTGAACTTCATATTCAAAATGAGAGTATGCCATCCAGTTTGTGTACATTGCACATCTATTTCTGTCCAGATGTCCACTGTGACACCTTTTTCTTAACTGGTTACAATTTATTTAGAAATATTTTATGTTCATGAGCAATGTAATTCAACTTCTGCATTTGTCTATGCAGAACTCTTCATTCTGGTCTTACATGGGCTAGTGCTTAAGTAACGGTGGTAATGGCTCAGGTAGGGCGCCAAGAAATGGTGTTGGTGGACTCAACACCCCATAGAATTGGCATAAAGGAGCAGCAGGAAGGGTTGGATCACATATATATTATATTAAATAATACAAATATATGCAAACTAAATTGTTTGTTTAGCATATGCAGGGATCAGTATTGCACGGAAGGAAGACATCAAATAATAAATCAACTGTCAATTCAGAGAAAGGAGGAAAAAAGAGTCTGCACATAAAAACAATCCTAACTAAAAGCCCTCGTATCTCAAAATTAAAAAATCTGCAAAGAAAAAACCTTTAGTTATGCACACTAATTTTCTTTGTTTTGGTAAGAGTCTGTACTTCCTTCTTGACTTTCTGGGTCACGGATGTGGAGAGAATATTTTGCTGAGATCCAAGAAGTCATTTAAAGCTCTGTCTAGAGATGCTCCAAACAATAAGGTATCATCAAAGCGTGCTTGGATGAGGATGCTCCTCATTGTAGGATCTTTATCTGGTACAGCCCACCATGTGCTTTAAGATTCCAGAATTTTACATAGGAGACAATCAGCCAAGAATCTGGGAACAGCACGGGCTAAGATGTATAACAATGCTGGGGGTTGTCTTTGATTGGCTTCTGTCATTTTTCTGGGGTGGGGGTTCCTAGCTGATTACTTCTTCAGGGGTTGGATGAGGAATGAGATAGAGGGCAGTGCAGACTATGGCTACACATACAAGGGCAGTTCTCAGAACAAGAAAGGAGGATCCAAAAATGTCATCTGAGAACACACTTTCAAATTTTCAGACATTGACACATGAACTACAATAGACTTCCTGCTGCATCAGCTGAGCTGTAGGAAGAAAAGTTGGTCTTTGAAACTGCAGAAAATGTGTAAGCATCAAGTCCTATTGCATTTGGTATCACTTTAGTAAAGTTCAGTTGATGGAACTTTGATTTAGTTAACCCAAGTCTTCTGGGTTATTTAAACAGGACAAGAAAGCTTGTGGTCTCCCTCAGACTCCAAGGGACTAGCCTGACTGGGCCCAGGGACTTTGTTTGCTGACTCTAATTTGTGGAGCTCTGAGCTAGGGCCCTGAGGTCCCCCTTATGAACTTTGTTAAAAAGACTATTACTTCCCTGATCTTCTTGAAGAAGACATATGTGTTTTATTAATTTGTTTTGACTTCCCCTGTCTTGAATCCTTTACACAGTAGCTTATAAGAGATCTGGTCTGGTCTGTGTCCTATTCCAACTGGCTGCACATGAGTTTCACAATGTCCTACCCAGACTCTGTTTGGAAAGACAGTTCCAAAACCACATCATGTAGGCAATTCACTCCAAGTGCCAGCAGAGGGTGTAGCCAATTCACAAAAATACATATGCGAGAGGAACATTTGGTAGCAGCCTCCCAACAGTGGGGAGCAGGCAGGATAACCCAACTATAATGGCCAGAGTAGTAGATCTTTCTGTATGAGAAATGCTGTTTTTCAAGGAGCATCTCTTTCTATTTTATTCCAAACAAAGACACCAGGGATACCTGCTTTCATTAGTGATTTTTACTTTAAAAAAAGATTAACCAAGGTTTTTAAAAAAAAAATATTGAATGCTCAATGCTTTTTTTGCCTCGGTCTTCACAGACAAGGTCAGCTCCCACATTGCTGTCCTGGGCAACACAGTATGTGGAGGAGGTGAACAGCCCTCAGTGGTGAAAGAACAGGTTAAGGACTATTTAGAAAAGCTGGACATGCACAAGTCCATGGGTCCAGATCTAATGCATCTGAGGGTGCTGAGGGAATTGGCTGATGTCATTGCAGAGCCATTAGCCATTATCTTTGAAAACTCGTGGCGATCAGGGGAGGTCCAAGACGATTGGAAAAAGGCAAATATGGTGCCCATCTTTAAAAAAGGGAAGAAGGAGAACCCGGGGAACTACAGACCGATCAGCCTCACCTCAGTCCCTGGAAAAATCATGGAACAGGTCCTCAAGGAAACCATTTTGAAGCCCTTGGAGGAGAGGAAGGTGATCAGGACAACATGGATTCACCAAGGGCAAGTCATGCCTGACCAACCTGATTGCCTTCTATGATGAGATAACTGGCTCTGTGGATATGGGGAAAGCAGCGGACGTGATATATCTTGACTTTAGCAAAGCTTTTGATTCATCTCCCACAGTATTCTTGCCAGCAAGTTAAAAAAGTATGGATTGGATGAATGGACTATAAGGTGGATAGAAAGCTGGCTAGATTGTTATGCTCAATGGGTAGTGATCAACGGCTCAATGTCTAGTTGGCAACCGGTATCAAGCAGAGTACCCCAGGGGTTGGTCCTGGGGCCAGTTTTGTTCAACATCTTTATTAATGATCTGGATGATGGGATGGATTGCACCCTCAGCAAGTTTGCAGATGACACTAAGCTAGGGGGAGAGGTATATACGCTGGAGGGTAGGGATAGGGTCCAGAGTGACCTAGACAAATTGGAGGATTGGGCCAAAAGAAATCTGATGAGGTTCAATAAGGAAAAGTGCAGAGTCCTGCACTTAGGACGGAAGAATCCCATGCACTGCTACAGGCTGGGGACCAACTGGCTAAGCAGCAGTTCTGCAAAAAAAGGCCTGGGG